AGACTTTTTCAAAATATAAATAAGGAGATGTGGTATGATGACAAAGAGACAACTATCAACCAATTCGTTTTCCACCGACAAGCAAAAAACAAAACTTTAAGGCCTACACGTCTTTCAAGAGCTTGCAGTATAAACGAGAAAATAAACTATTCTGAAAAAATGTGTATATTTATTTATTCATATATTTATCTTGGGGTTCGAGTAAAAAAACTTACATACATGTGACACAAAGGAATAATCATACTAATTTATTTTCACGGGCGGATCCAGGATTTTTGAAAAGGGGACTGGGGGGGCTTAATTTCAGAGAATTATGGTTGGACAATGTTATGCTATAACGTCATATACTAGTAGATCGTGAGAAATTTGAAATTTTATTAGCGATCAAAGGCCCTCTGGATCCTCAACTGATTTTACTATTAGAGTCTGTTTTACTATCGAAACAAGGATTTATATAGGATTCAATTCTAGCTGGTTGCATGCAAAGTATAATACATATAATATACACCGCACAGTAATAAAAAGACAAATTCCGAGCAATAGTTGACTTATGAGACATGTTCTGAGCTATTCGAAATGTTATATATAAAAATAAGAATATGTGGTATGATTGCCAATGAAGTTACTCTCCACCAGAGACCCAAATTAACATAGAAGTTAATATATGAATGTGTTACAGCTATAAAATAATTCACAAATCGGTGTTACATGAGGGTCTGGATCGGGGTCTTTCATTCAGTCTGTATTCTTTAATTTTTTAGGCCGTTTTTCTCTATTCTTTATACTTTTTGCCCATAATTCGCTATTCTTTATTTATTTTTGGTCCATCTTTCTCTATTCTTTATATTTTTTGCCCATTATTCTCTATTCTTTATTTCTTTTTGGTCCATTTTTCTCTATTCTATATATTTTATGCCCATTATTCTCTATTGTGCAAACCCACAACCACACTCTTTCACATTTCTTGCATTTGTGTGTTAGGTAATTTTTTTTCGGAATTTTAAATTATTTTTCTATTTTTTATTATGAATGATCTTTTAGGTGTTTAAGAGAATAATAGAATCATAGTGAAATTAGAAAAAAATAAGCACATCTCCAAATTTGTTCCAATTATTACATATTATTATATATTGTTATGAATATTGTTTTGAATATATTTTAATAGGATTCCAATAACATGTACTTAAGAAATTGTGTATTTTAGAAAATTCAATACTCATCTGCAAAATATCTTCCTCCTCTTTATATTATATTTTTATATATACAAGTTGATACAAAAATGTCTTGAACAGTTTTAATATTATATATTTATTTTTTTTATATGTCATAGGAAGATTTTTGCAAAGATTCATATAGGGTCAAAATCAAAATCAAGTTGAGATTTTTATGACGTATTTGCATTATTTATAATGGGGCTGATTTAATGTATCACATTTAACAGGTTTACATACTTAATGATAATGTATTCGAAAAAAACATAAACAAAAAAATTGAAAAGTGAATTAATGAACATTATTCTCATAAATCTACGTGTCATAGTCACAGAGAAAATTGATATTTACAATAACAAAATATATTCTACGTTTGTGATTTATTCAGCAAGATATATAAAGTCATAAAATATGAAGTCATAAAATCACCCGATTTTTACTGAAAGCGGGGATTCCCAGTTTAAAGGTTTGCATTTTTTCAATAGCCGCTTCCGTCGTTAAAGCTAGGTAAAAATTTGTACGCAATTCCGACTACAGATTTCATTTTCATTGTAATTTATAATCATTTAACTTTCAAACATATTTCATTTTGGACAACTGAACAAAGCAGAAGTATTTTTCACGGAAAGAAATCAATATCATTGAGAAATCGATCAATGTACTGAAAATTATAGTCCAAGCTCGAATAAAGGGAGACAAGCTTTATAAATCTGCACAAACTATTTTATGTCAAAATCGATAGATTTACATGGCACTGAACACTACTGAAAATTCCCAAAACAACTATTTTATCGATGTACTGATTTGTTCGAAAACGTTCTTGACGCTACTGAATCAAATGCAAGTCGTTTTGTCTTAAATACCTGAACCAGTACTGAACTGTACTGGATCTACTGCGCGGGTCAGGGTACTGAACACGTACTGAATAACTGAAAAAGATCTTGACATTTTTCCTTGCGGTAAATTCAGGCATTTAAGAGTTGTTCAGTTTAAAATGACCGTTTCAGTAGTAAAAACAGTTACTAGTGAAGGTATTAACATGTGATTAAGGTCATTACATATACAATATAAGAAGATAAATGAATTCCTCTTTTAGCAATTTAATAACACGAAAATAACATGTATGATCGTCAAGTTTATCCTGTTCCAAATAAGTTTTTTTAGTCTTGTTTATGATCTTCAGTATTACATTGTTCTGAAAATGGTGTTTTAGCAATGATACTGGATATGATAATTAAGATATGTTACGTTTATGACAAAGAAAAATTACCATCAAGAAAAAGAAAATATACTAGAGGAGATGCACATGAGTACTATTTGCACGATTTGATTTATGTTTCTATGATTCAGAATGAACTTAATTAAACTAACTGAAGGGGCTTACATCTATTCAGTCCAGGTCAAAATGTGTAAATAACTAGATTTGTACTAGACAAATTTACGTATCCTTCAGTTGCAATGAAAACTGTTGTTTTTATTTCCAAAATATATAAGAATAATTATATAAATAACGTTACACTATATATATTATTGCACAAGATGTGAAGTTTAATTTCATGTCAATCGCTTTCGTGCACACTGAGGAGGTCAACGTACTTGTAACGTTAGACTTTACTCTTTAAGTGACCAGTCGGCAGTCAACAATCCGTGGTCGATCAGTTAAGTAAGCGTAAAGTTTACGTCATTCATCTTTCAGACTTATTAGATTCTTCGGATCGGACGTATTGATTTGGATTGACCTTTACTACGTAACATTGTTCTCTTGTAAACTATGGAATCGTAGTTTCGTTTTATCTAATCAAAACGGTGCCACCGAAAAGTACAAATCGTTTGTTGTGACATTGATCCACATTTATATTTCGTTTGTGGTGTCCTTGTGTGCTGTCGTAAATTCATGGGAGGTGTCCATTGTTATTCTGCGGTTTACATGTTGTAATGTACTATTATATTATTTATTTATGTATTTCTCTGTGCTGAGTGTTTTGCGTTTGTTTGTACTGTATTCCTGTCACGTAGTGTTGTCATTTTAGCGGTATTTTAACATGGACATAAAAGCGGGAGGTTTGGCTAGCCATACAACCAGGTTCAACCCACCATTTTTTTCTTAAAATGTTCTGTACCAAGTCAGGAATATTTCAATTGTTATATACAGTCCGTTTCTATGTATGTTGGCGTTTGCTTTTGTTGAAGCTAAGTGTTTCTGTTGTTCCGTTGTTTTCCTCTTATAGTTGATGTGTTTCCCGCGGTTTTAGTTTGTTACACGGATTTGTTTTCGCTTAATCGATTTATAACTATTGAACTGCGGTATACTACTGTTGCCTTTATTTATATTCAAATTAACATTCTAATATTTGGCTTTTCAAGATTGATGAAGATATTTTGAACATTGTTAGTTTATAACCATCATTACGCTTACTTGACGTACTGATGAACACTAGACATAGACCCTATTAAAAGGTCAGAAATGAATGTCATCACATAAGTCCTTAGCAACCATTCATTTATAGTGGAAAAGTGCCTAGCAACCATTCTTTTGATTTGGGGAAGTGCATAGCAACCGCACATTTTATTGGAAAAATGCCTAGCAATCATACATATGTATATGTTCGGGTTTATTTGGACAAAAATCCGACAAAATTAATATCAAAGATGTAGTTTTTCTATAGATTACTATTTCCGTTAAAGATCACATATTGTATTACACAGACATGATTGTACATCTCTTTTTTTTTATTCTGTGGAGAATTCTTGAAAGACCTCTCCTTCTTAAAAATAACAGTACATTGTGTGTTCTGCAAAATTTCCTTCTTTGTACGTATATTTTATCTTGGTATTAACATTTTCTCATATTCTCCCGATTAAAGTTTTTGCGATAATTATAAAATCACAAATTTTAGAAAATAAGTGTTTTCGCGCAATAATTGTCAAAGAGCTATAGCTACTCATTTAAGCTGTTTCTCTTCAGTGAAAAAATCTCATAAATTGGTACAAATGATTTTTAAAGGGCAAGAGCACCTATAAGAAATATTTTTAAAATTTTAGTTTGCATACTCGGCTATCGACTCGGACATTTATCTGACTTGTCCTGCTGACAGCACTATACGGCAACGGTTGTTACCAGCCCGTTTTTGTGTTACCTTTGTTCTGTATATAATACATATTCTCCCAGGATATTTAATAACTTACTTGATGTAAGCTAAACATATTATTATTCAGCTGATTGTTGAATAAATAAAATATAAGTGTGTTAAAAATCAAAGCTAGGCGTTTGCTTAGTTTACTAATGTTATGATATAAAAGAAGCATGAAACAGTGCAGTCTGATTATTTATACTATATTTCATTGCTTTCCCTTGTTCTTAATCAACACCAAATTGTATAGAACTGTTACCATTAAATATCACATAACAATGTGTAAACTCTTCAATCGGACTTTTTGATATTTCACGTTTCTAATGTTATACAGTTTCTAGAAATCGTATTTATGATTAAAGTATTTACAATTTTCTGATAGATAAAAGACAATTCTGATATCAAATTAAAAAAAAATAGTTATATTCTCACGTCAATTTCAAGGTATAGTTTCTAATTGTTTGTCAATTTGAATGTGTGATGCAGTCTATTTTATTAAAATAAATATACATGCAGTATGTAATACTGTTCATTTCCGATTGAAATCTGATATTGGCTACCGGGTTTGATATAAGCCCAGTGCAATCATACGTTGTTTTACTTTCTTTTAAGTTGCCTCATTTATCATTTAATGTTATGCTTTTTTTTCACTATCCAGAATGGTAAAACTGCACTTCACCTTGCTATATTGAACAGTAAAACGGAAATTGTAAAGTTACTGATCGACGCTGGTATTGATGTCAATATACTTGAAAAGGTCAGTATATGACAAATCAAATCAAATAATTATCAGTAGCATATCAATATCTGCAATGCTATTTTGTCTGCACCAACGAGGATGGACATCCCAATAAATGCTTAAACATGATACAAACTGTAAACATCTTTTCAATCCTAAAAGGGTCGGACAAGGAAACTTGAGAAGATAATTGTAAACGGTAGCAATTGTACTGCACCGGATGTGCATTTTGCATAAGTTCAATTTCATATCGACAACTTTTGTGCCCTATAATGGGTTCATACAATGTATATATTTGCTCACATGTTGATGCCTGTTGTTGTATCCATTTATTATTTTGATATAAAATGTCACCCAATTTTGTCAACATAACTGAACTATAAGTAATTGTCATACAAGTAGGAGATTTTGCTAGCTGTAAAACCAGGTATAACCCTACACTTTCTTCAGAAAATGTCTGTAACAATATAAAAATAAGAAAATTTAATATGATTACCAATGACACAACATTCCATCAAATGACATAGAAAATAACAACTACATGTCACCGTACGGCCTTCATAAATGAGCATAACCTATACCACATATCAAGCAAGTCAATAATTTGACAGAATGTTTCTATTTGTTCTGCTGGTTGATAACATTTGACGTTTGCTATTTAAAGTTTCATGGACTTCCCCTGTTTGGAATTTACCTTGGAGTTCGGTATTTGTGTAAATACTTTTTATTATCAATATTAGAGAAATGAGTGAAAACACCAATAATTTGTATTTGACATAAGAGCTTCTAAACATTTAAACAGTTGTTTTATGTCAAACATTGACCAAATGCAGTATATGCTGTGAAAGTAAAAAATCATATCTTAGTTTATATTTTCAACATCATTTGCAAAGTGAATAAATGAGGACATTTGTAATTTCTACCTGATGAACCTTAGTATAGTTATCATGTCTTACAACAACAAATATCACTGCTGGCGACGTTTTAGTTGGGACAATACCATTGTAAAAAACGGAAAACGACATAAAGAAAGACAAAACAACATGTTACATTTCTGATGCAATTCATGACGCTGCAGGACACTTATACTTCACTACTTCACTACAGCTAATTTGCGTAGCTATTTTGTTATGAATATCTAACACGTTTATATCGTAATTTGTTTTTATTAAGAATGGGTTGAATGCACTGCATAATGCTGCAAGTAAAGAACATACAGAAATTGTGCATTTGCTTATTGTCAGAGCTTGCTTAATTCACTAATGTTATGATACAAAGAAGCATTACAAGCGTTAGTCTGGTATTTGATGTTACTTCTCTTGCATTGTTTTACTCTTAAAGTTACCACAAGTAGCATAGAAGTGTTACCAATATTTGATTATATTTCAATATGTAAGCCAATTGTTGATGAAACGACGAATTTCCCATCAGGAATTATTTTTAAGTCAAACTACATTAATACAGTATTTACTAATGCACGGTGTATATTCAGAACGCTTGCTTTCCGATTCAATAGACGGTAACGCTTGCTTTCCGATTCCGGAAACGCGTACTTTCCGATATTACAAAAGAAAATTACAAAGATGGTTGAAAGGTAGGTTGCTACAACCTAAAAAAAATTATGGATTGACAATTTTCTTGATTGAAATTGAAGTTAACGGAACAAATCAAACAGAACAGATGATAATACACAGTGTGTCCAGTTTCTGATATTACCACTCCAGGACAGGAACAATAAAATTATTTGAAATTCTTTTTATTTTAACATTTTTATAACTACTCATGGAAATTCAATATCAAAAGGATGAAGGAAAGTTTGTAATGTTATATTTCCCTACACATTAAAAAAATTGAAAGAAATGTTTTATTTGTCTTCCTATAATTTTTAATTTGTATTACATGTTTACGTTTGTTATTAACTAAATATTCATATTTGTATTTACTATTAATTCATTCATGCAACAATTACCACATATTATCAAGAAAACCAAGCATGTGGTATTCAACTAACAACCTTATAATTGGAGTGACACATGTATTTGAAAGTTTTGTGGTTTCTAAGTGGTATGGCTGATTTTCAATCCAACATCATTTTGATGCGATTTCTTGTGCATAGTTGTTGGACTCTATTGGTGAAATTCACCAGTAATGTCACAACCAGTTTAAGTTCAATAAATTTATTATTATTAGCAAATAAGAATTGAGTATTTTCATTGTTGTCGCATTGTTTTTTTTTATTGTTTTTTTTTGTCGAAAAAAATATATTGATTTTTTTCTTCTTTTTATTTTATTTGAGAAACTACTACTACGCCATTTTTGTTTTTGTTTTTTTTATCTTTATTTTAATATTTTAAATGCAGCGTTTGATTGTTGATGAAGTGATGATATTTGCATATCTTTAGATTTGAAATAGGCTTTCTCGTCGTCCTGTCATTTTTAGATTATAACAAACATATATAATAATTTGATACCAAGATATATCATGTTTCTATTTAGTTTATAGCTAGTCGTAAATAAAACAAATCATCACCCTAAATATTAGCCACTGGACATTGAGAAATAAATATCCATCAATCACTGAAAAAAATTGTCTCTAAATATTTAAGTGACTTTTGGAAGAACATATAGTAGCCGAATGCCTAATTTGGACTTTGAAATTGAAAATTAAACAGAAAATAGTTATTTCTACAACCGATCAAAATTATGATATTTTTAATGTAGACTTGATGACCTTTCATTTGATATGCGACAACACCATCTTCTAGAAATTTAGATTTTTTGCACTTAATAACCATATCCAACTCATTTTTGGAGGACAGGTTATTGATATACAACAACCTTACCTTAAAAGACAATTTATTTTTTGCACTCAATGACCCCACCCAACCTATTTTTGGGGGACGTAAATTTGATATTTGAAACGTTCGTTTTATGGACTTTCATTTGATATTCGACAACCTAACCATCTTAGAAGTTTTATTTTTTGCACGAAATGACCCCTACCGTCTCACTGGGATTAAAAGGGGGTTTGAAATTTTCATTTTTGAGTAGAGCTCATTTAGACGTTCAATTTGATATACATAATGACCCCAGTTGGCAAGGTAAAAAAAAATGATGCAATATCAATTGTATAAATAGAATTAATGAAACTTACAAAGTCAATGCTAAACATGAAAATTTCAATTTTTTTTTGGGGGGGGGGGGGGGGGTTTCTTTGAATGTTTTTGGTAATTAATCAAATATATAACCATGTTAAACTCTTCAATTTCTGAAAATTTCAGGTGTATAGCTGTTGTTGATTCAGAAATAAATGCCCCCGCTCGCAAAATTTCAAACTGCATTATCTCTAAAACGACAACAGATATCTCAAATCTGCTAAATGCAATACCAAACTTGAGAACCAGAAGTCGTAGAGACATGGCACTACCACCATTCAACTCAGGACCACTTGACCTTTCAAATGTCACAAGGTCAAAGTCATAGTGCACTTTGAAGGTCAAGGTGAAATTTCCTCATGACCTTGATATTGACCTCAAATTGAAGGTTATAAAACACTGATCATTTTTGCAATTTATAGTAGGTTGATATCTGTTACCGTTTCAAAGATATACACAAAATACTATACTTTTAAGAATTATCTCGTCGTAACTTTTGAACAGATGGCCAGACAGTTTTGAGCCTAATGTATAAAATGTAGAGCACTTCGAGAGGAACATTTAAAACACTGTATGTATGCAGCAATCTCTTATCGTTTTCTTAATATGTAAGCTTGAAATTTCAGCATAAAAACTGTTTGCACTCGGTGACCTTTGACCTTGGGTGCAAATAAAAGGTCACATGAACTGAAGATTATTGGTAAAGGTCCCAAGTCTCCACGATTTCCCGTTCTCAAAATAGATATTTTTCAAAAACTGTGCATAATAATTCAAGGGAAATAACTCATATAAGGGTTGATAACAAAATAATTGTTTATGTTTATTAACATTGCCATCTATTCCTGTACATGTAGCCATTTTCAAATCGATTCTATCTGTAATAGTTTTTAAGAAAAATGCAAATAAAAGAAATTTTTTCAAGGGGATATAACTCTCAAAGGGGTGATGAAATCCTACGCAGTCTCATCTGCTAATACTTCATGATGAGATCTACCAAATGTCCAGATAAAGTCATGCTATCTCTAAAAACAACGTGGTGGGCCATGTCGAAAAAAAAACAATAAAAGGGAGATAACTTCTAAAGGGGATGATGAAATCCTACACAGCCTCATCTGGTAATACTTAATGATGAGGTATATAGATGGTCTAAATTTTGGTCTTGATTACTTCAATAGAAACGATGGGAGGCCATGTCAAAAAAATGTTGGCTTTTTTATGTTCTACCTATGAATTTACTGCAAGGTTAGTAGTCGGGTCAGTGATTTATGGCTGCAATGGATATCTATGATTCCTAAGGAAGATCCCGAATTTAAGATTTCCTTGAAGTTTGGTTCCAATGAAGTCGTCAAATGATTTTTTTATATAAAATGTTCGAATATTTTTAACATAGAAAATAAGAGAAAAGGGTATGAACATGTAAACCGTCCCCATAGTAAGATTGTGTTTATAATAGCAAAGCATAATAATTTTTTATTAAGAACATAAATAAAACAGAATAAAATAAAAAAAAACGGGGGGGTTAACTTCCCCAGCCAAGGCTTATCAGTGCATGTTCATAGATCTTCATTGTAGTAGAACTTACAAATCATGCAGCCAAGGATATTTGATTTCGTATCAGATGTATTATCAGCCCAAGAGCCGAAGGCTCGAGGGCTGATATTGACCGAGGGCTGATAATACATCTGATATGAAAAATGACATGTTATGATCTTTTTATCATATGCTTCAACAATTGAAAAAAAATAACAGTTTAATATATTGATCATTTTAAGTGGTTCTCAAGTAGAAGTTCAAAAAGTGAAAAGTTTACGGACGACGGACGCCAAATGTTATACTAGTACTGCCGATATTAAATCTTTCTAT